TCAAGCCCCGGGGTCTTCCCAGTAGGGAATTGGGCAACCGCCAACTCAATTTCGTCAGTAGTGAGCGGTTGGTCCAACTCCTCTCTGGCCTGAGAGGACAGTGAGGGGAGGGAGATTTGAGACAGATAATCCCCCAGCTCAACGTCCGTATATTGGGCTCTGGAGGAGTATAAATCTCTATAGAAGGACAGGAATGCATCCATAATGCCTTGGGTGTCAGTGACCAGGGACCCCGAGGGAGAGAGAATGTGGGGAATAGAGGTAGGGTTGAATTCCGGCCTTGTAAAGTATGCCAGTAATCTACCCGCCTTATTCCCAAACTCGAATATTTTTTGCTGAGTATGTAGCATTTTCTTTTTAGTTTGTTCCAGCAGGAACAGGTCATATTTGCCCCCCATCCAGTCGCTGTAGGCTGATGAAGTAGGGTCTAGGACGTAGTTGGTCTCAGCTTCTCCCATATCACTCTCCAATGCTAGTGCTACCTCCCCCTTAAGTTTACGGACTGCTCCCGTGGCGGCCATGAACGCTCCTCTAAGAGTGGGCTTGAAGGCTTCCCATTTAAGGGAAGAGGAAGTAACAAGGGCATTGTCACTCCAGTGATAGCCAATAGCCTGGGAGCAGGCAGTCTCCACAGAGGGGTCAGACAGCCAATGGGAATTCATCCTCCACACTCTGGAAGAGAACGAATGTCCCCAGCTGAGCTCCACTAATAAGGGGGCATGGTCTGAGATCCCCCTAGGTAGAAAGCGCACCCCTGAGAGTCTTGGAAGAAGCGTCGGGGTGACAAATGCCAAGTCAATCCTGGAGAATGTCCTGTGTGTAGCAGAGTGGCTTGAGTAGGCTTTAGTATACGGCCACTTCCAGCGCCACACATCATGAAGCCCAATTCCCTGTATCCAGTCAGTGAAGTTACTATTGAGTCGCCCTCCGCCTCCCATACGGTCTAGTAGGGGGTTAGGGGCCATATTAAAGTCGCCTATGAACATCAACGGGGCCGTGGGCATGGTCAGGGCAGCATTAGTGATCGCATGGAGGATGTCCACCCCTGGGGGGGGGGAGATAAACGGAGGCCAGTGTCAAGGGAGTCCCCTCTATCGCCATATGTATGATAACAAATCTCCCGTGCTGGTCAGTTTTAACCTGGAGAACATCAGCATTAAGCGACTTAGCTAGCAGAATGGACACCCCATGTGAATATGATGAGTATACAGCATTAAAGGATTTGGCTACCCAGTGTTTTTTCAATGCCAGAATCCTAGATCCCAGCAGATGGGTCTCCTGCAGGCACACCACATGTGGCTTAAGTTTAAAGAGGAAGTCGAATACAAGGGAGCGTTTGAGGCTGGAATTCAAGCCCCGAACGTTCCATGAAATAAATTTATATTGCATCAGAGGACAGGGAAAGAGTCAGGGCAGTTAGAAGGTGAACCTGTGAATTGAAGCGGTGAAACCTCATGAACCAATGCAAGCTGTAGAGCGTCATAACATACAAACAGTAGAAAACGTCAACAGACATCCCAACATGAACTACCATTCCCATCCCACCCCGCTTGTTAACCCAACTCTAACAAGCCCGGACCCCTTAACGTAACCAAAACTCAAGCACC